GGACCTGAGTTCCAATCCCCAGAAACCGCATAAAAACACCTGGGCATGGCAGCACACACCTGTCATCCCAGAGCTGGGGAGGCAGAGAGAGAAGGATGTCTGAGGCTCGCTGACCAACTGTCTAGACAGATAGAAAGTGCCATGCTCAGTGAGGTAACATGGTCAGAAGATAACATGGCCAGTGAGTGAGGGCATCCAATGTCAACTGTACATTTGGGGACACGGAGTGATGAGCTGGTGGGAGAGAAAGAAGCTAATGTGATGAGCACCTACACACTTTCACACACACACACACATGTACACACTCCCAAGGGTATACAAAGGGCCAAACACAGCACCTGGTGCTTAGTAATAACTCAATAAATGTTAGTGATGTTGCTAAATGAATGAATTCTAGGTAGGAGCATGTCATCATGGGTAGTCTTGCCAAGGAAAACTTAAATGAAGGAACCTAATGTCCCTCAGACCCATGTTGCTGTGCATCAGACCCTTTACTTACATGCCTCCAAGAATGCTACATACCCCGGAAATAGCGCAAGAAAGTAGATGTCATGACAGCCACTTTATAGGCAAGGCGGCTGAGACTCAACGAGGCTAGGTAATGAACCAAGGCCACAGCGCTGTGTCGGAAGAGCCCAAGCTAGTGGTTTCTGTGGATGCTGGCACACTGAATTTCAGACTCTTCACTCAGGAGCCAACAGCACACCACCCCCAGACCACGTGGCCTCGGGCACATTAGTAAACCTCTATGGACTTCTGTTTCTCAGCAAAATGGAATTAAAAGCATCTCTTTAACGGGGTTATCAGGAGTACTCAAGGGGCTGGAGAGCAGGCTCAGCTACTAAAAGTGCTTGCTGATCTTACACAGGACTCAAAGTCAGTTCCCAGAACCCACAGCTGACCGCTTACAACAGCCTGTAACTCCAGCTCCAAGGGATCTGACACCTCCTTTTGGGCCTCTGCAGGCACCTATATACATGCACACAGAGACAGACAGACACACAGACAGACAGACACACACACACATACACACCTAAATAAATAATAATAAATCTTGAAAAAAAAACAGAAGAGTACTCAGAAAATATAATAGGTCTTGAGTGCTCAACCGTAAATGAGACACCCACCTCAATCTCCCCAAGGCTCAGGCGCATCAAAGAAGGAGAAGGGAGACTGGAGTTGGTGGATGGAGGAGTGCCGTGAGACACGCTTCTGTAACCGTTACACTCAAGAACTCACTACAGCTATGGTCACCTGAACCAGGTCAAGTCGGCAACAGCAGTCAACATTCCAGTGCAAAGCGGACTCAGCGGGTCATTAAAGAGGACGTGAGGTCAGGAGGTGGCGGCACATGCCTTTAACTCTAGAACTTCAGAGGCAAGAGGATTTCTGAGTTCAAAGTCAGCCTGGTCTACAAATCAAGTTCCAGGACAGCCAAAACTGTTACACAGAGAAGCCCTGTCTTGAGAAACCAAAAGAAAAGAAAGGAAAAGAAAAGAGAAGAGAAGAAAAGAAAAGGACATGACACAGGCAAGGGAGATATGTTGGGGAATTTGAGGGAAGAGAAGGTAGTTGGGAGGTCAACTGTCCCCTCCCCTTGTAGAGGGGCACCAAGTATCGGCTGTCTGCTCTGGAGAAGCCTGCAGAGTGCAGCCTTAAACAACAGATAGAATTTCACATGGTTTCCACTGGAAAGGCCAAGGTCAAGGAGATGGATGACCCCGGGCCTGCTGAGGACTTGCTGAGCTACAGAAGGCTGCCCCTTCTTGGTGTTCCCACATACCAGAGAAGGAGCAAGCTCTCTGGTCTCATCCTCTCATGGGACTCCACCGTCGTGACCTTCTCTGAACTTAATGACCCCCACAAAGGTCCTCCTCCAGGGGAGGGGTGTCAGGGACTCAGTGTGAACTTCAGAGGGAACACGGTCATCAACACAAACTCAAGGCTGTGTGGACAGCCGGTGCTGATCCCGGGAACACACCCTGCCAGACATGGAGTGGTCACCGGCCGGCAAGGCCTCAGTGGGAATGGGGGAACTCCCCTCTCTAGCTCCCACCAAGGCCTCTGCAATCGTCACCAGGGCACAGCGGTACCTGGCATGCCTCTGCACGGGTTGGCTGTCCAAGAACCTCATCCAGTCTCTGGGGCTCAAATCACCCAGCTGCGGCCCGTGGGCCTGGGCAGGATCCCAGAGGCCTGGGAGAGGATGAGAAGGGATTGAACGTCTGTCCAAGCAAGGTCAGAGCACTTGCATCCACTAATCAATCTGAATGCCTGCCTGTCACAGCCCAGAACTCTCCTCAGGACCCTTGGGGAACGGACTACAGCTCTGCTCTTTAACCAAAGGCCAATCATGGGGAAACAAAGAGTTGAGCCAATGCGGTGGCTCAGAGAGTAAGAGTTCTTGCAGCACAAGTCAGACGACCTGAGTTCAGTCCCCAGGATCTACAGTAGAAGGGGAGAGAGGGCTCCGGCAACTTGTCCTCTGACCTCTGCACATGTGACTCACACATATATCATATACATGCACATTTAACAACAGTCAAACAAAAACTTTAAAGGAGAATGCCAACTGTCCTAGCAGGGGCCCACTTGTCAAAGACCGGGGTTTACCTGGGACACCGAGGGCACTTTTGTGGAATGCCACTGTTTTCTAACCTAGGACGGAAGAGAAATCCCAGAGTGAGGAGGAAGATGAGTGGACCCAAGAAGCAAAGGGTTTGAAGCAGGCCGAGTGGAAATCGCAGCTTCCAGGCAGCTACCCTGGAGCCCAGGCCTGCGGCAGCAGAGAAGTAACAACACTGGCTGGTGACTGGCCTCCAGGAATGGAAGAGCAAGTGGGGAGGAAAACATCAGTCCACAGCTGCACACAGGGCTAAGAAAGCAGGGAGTGGAGGAGAGCAGGACCTCCAGGCAAAGGGAATGGGAAAGAGGAAAACCAGGTGCCCATCCCCCTGGTGGCCATGGAAACACCAGAAATGTGGTGTGGCCCCTGCTCCACAAACATTGGCGTACATTAAGATGAGAAGAGGTCCCATGAGAGGAGAGTGATGGGAACCCGTGCTGGCCGCGAGCGAGTTGCACATGGGCCTTCACCTGGACTCCGGCTGACTTTCTCTAACAGAGCTTGAGACGCATTCACACCGCGCCAGTAACTCCCGTCCTGCATGTCTGTCTGCCCACAGGCAATCTTGGGCATGCAATCCAGGGGAGAAGTGGGAGAATGTTCACAGTCTCGGAGAGGTGGCTCACCACCGAGTCTGGAAGCAATCCAAATGTGCACCATTCACACGTCACAGCAGGGAACACAAATGATTCAGTACCAAGGATGACCACAGCAGCGTGTTTAGTGGAGGAAGCCATTAGGAAGCCAAGGGACGATGGGCCATGACACTGTTTACAAACACTAGGAGGGAGGCAAGAGTGACCCGGGTCCTCGGGCATGCATACGTGGGTGGTGGGCTTTGTAGTGAAGCAAGGAGGAACTAGGAGAGTGATGAGCCCTGGGAAGGAGGGGCTGTGTCAAGGACAAGGAAAGGTTCCCGTGGTTCTGGGATCTGCGATGTCTGTCTTGACGCGGGCAGTGGCCCGTCAGCATTCACTTTGCTACTGCGTGTGGGTCATAAGCCATATCTTTCTGTCTGCGACGATGGTGGCCCTGGGGGATGACAGGAGGGCTATTGCTGCCTCAGAGGCAGGTTTCTCTAGAGCCCGTCCCCCTGTCCGTTACCCTCCACCTCACTCTTCCCGTGTCAAATCCGCTGCTCCCCGGACTGAACTTCAGCCAACTGTGCAAACAGCATAGGACTCGCCTAACTCAGGAAGTCCCTGCTACGGGCCTGTCACTTCCCCACCTGGTCTGTGGCAGTCCCACTGATGCTGGAGCAGGTGGAAGCCCTGTTAGCCCTCTCCTTTCTGAGAGAGACCCAGCCTTCGGAGGCTCAGGCAGAGTGGCACACACACCTGTGTTCGCAGCACTCTGGAGGTAGAGACAGGGACACCACAAGTTCAAGGTCATCCGTGCTCAGCTTCATAGAAATTTTGAGGTCACCCTGGACTACATGAGACCCTGCCTCAAAAAAAAGACAAAATAAAAATAAGCAAATCGCCCTTCCGGATCCCCTACCAATGTGTCCTCCTAGAGAGACCAAGATGGGTCCAGCGAGAAGCGAGCTGATCTCCTCTTCCTTCCAGTCAGTGGCCTAACCAAGTCCCATAATCCCCACCCCCATCTCCACTCTCAAAAGCAGGGTCAGGAGAGGCCTAACAAGGAAACTGAGGCTCAGAAGGGCCTCAGCACATTGCATCCGGTGTTAGAATTCAAACCCGGAGCAGAATGGTTCCAAAACCCTCGCTGTAACCGGTGCCCTGGTCCCCGAGGTCAGCGCTGTCCCCACCCCTGCTGGCACAGTCATCCTCAACACCCCCAGGGAAGAACCAGCCACTGCCTAAGGCCACGACCCTGGGGAAGGGAAGTAGCCCAGGGCAGCCCTGCAGGGAAGGGAAGGAGCCCAGGGCAGTCCTGCTTCTTTGAGTCAGTCCGCAAGTCTGGCCTCATTTAGAGAAGCCCAGAGAGGGGCAAGGATCCCCCACAGCCGCACAGCTCCCCTCCCCCTCACGACGTGATATGTGCTTGCTCCAGGTGAGGGGTCTGTCCCTCCTTCCAGGGACTTCAGAAGGTCATACCCCCGTCCAAACCGCTCAGTGAACACCTCTCACCTCTCCATCCGGAGCCCAAAGCCCTGTCAGTGGCGGAATCCAGGGTCCTTAGTCTCCCCGGAGACCACGCTGCCCCTGCATCTAGGGAGGCAGGGTCGGGGCAGCACCCACCTGGCCTGCCTTGGCCCTGGCCCAGCTTAGGAGTCCCAGGCCACGGACTCCCGTCCAAGCAGGCTCAAGGCCGCCACAGCCAGGACTGGCGCCCGCCTGCTCTCTGCCAGCTTCCTCTGGAATAAACACCGCTGCATGGCAACCGCTCTCTGAAGGAGTCCAGGTCCCTGTGTGGGGGAGAAGCGGAGCTGAGACTTTTCCCCTCGGTCTCCTGTCCCCTGCGGCTCCCCCAGGTGCTGCCCATGCCCCAGTGGCCAACCTGGAGGGAGGGGGCAGCGCAGGAGCGTGCGGAGCCAGCTGGGCTCCACTGTGCGCTGGCTGCATCCAGAAGCATGCCGCAGAGGGAGGCAGGAGCCACAGGCAGGTGAGCCTGTACACGTGGCCCGGGGCCCCAGGGGCCATGCTCGCTAGCCTGTCTCCACAGGCAGAGGCCAGCAGGGTAGGCAGCAACTGCAGAGCCAGGTCTGATCCTGATTCTGCTGTTGCTTTCTTGTGCCCTTCTTGTGCCAGCCTCAGTTTCCCCACCTATAAAATGGGTGGGCATAAAATAGTACTCGCTCAGTAGAGTTGATGCCAGGATTAAAGAGCTGCCAGGAGGTTTGTCTAGATCTAGAAGGAAGCCAGCCCGATGTTAATCTCTCCAGAAATATTTACGTAACAGAAAGCCGTGGTCTCCCCCCACTCAGGTACCCCTGGCGGGAAATACAAAGTCTGTAATCCTGCGTGTGCTTCCTCACTGAGCCGCCACACTGGTGTGTCAGCCGCTCAGACGGCAGCTCCTGCCCCTTGCCTTGCCCGCTTCTGATCCTCAGCACCCCCCACCCCAAGGCTTACAGAGGAGCAGCAGAGGTCTCATACAACTTCCAGAGAGCCGCTCACCCAAAGACTAAGGGTTTTTTTTTTACTTTATTTTATTTTTAGGCGAGCCCCTTCAAGTTCTCAGGGAGGAGTCAGCTTGGCGGACACAAGAATACAGAGCAGAGGAGTCTGGGGCAGGCTGCCTCGCCTCCGGGAAGCCTAGCTGCTGAACAGCTGTCATCCAATGCCCGCTTTCCTCCGAGGCGCCCAGGGAGGCCAAGGGTGGCTGCCAGAGAGAACGGAGAACTGGGTCTACCTGCACAGAGCGCTCGTCCCGCCAGAGGGCGCCAGCGGGCCTCCTCTAAGGCTAACTGAGCCCCATTCCCGAGCTTCCCCTGCAGATGCCCCTAAAAGAAGGACCTCCTCTGGACGCGGGCTGAATTTGGGTTCTCCGTGGGAGGTAAATATGAAGAAACTCAATGTTACGGATGGGAAACTGAGGCCTGGTAAGTTATGCAATTTGTAAGTGAAAGAGCCGTGAGCATGCAGAACGGATGGGCACAGAACAGGAAGGACTCTGTGTCCGGGGAAGCCAAATGTTCACCTCCCCAAACTCATCCCACACGCCAGCCTGGATGGGAGTTCCCGGACGGTACCCCATCCCCACCCCCGCCAGGATCCTTCCCAGCCCTGGACCTTGAAGGAAGACCACACAGCACCCCTGACTCTACTCTCCTTCCCCTCTGTCCCTCTGCTCCCTTTGCCTTCTTTTTCCTCTGGGGACTGGAGCATCAAGCTTCTCCAGGGTGACCTGAGCCACCCGGTGTCCGGCAGGCACAGAAGACATGGAGAGAGCACAGGTTGCCCCTGAGCAAGCGAGGAAGACCCCGAAGGTTTATTATCCGCGCAGACCTGCATCACCTCCAAGGTACCTGCCCACATCACCTCTGCAGTAGCTCCTCCCCGCCCCCGCCCCTTCTAGGTAGCCCTTACTGGCCTGGAACTCTCCATGTAGACCATTCTGTCCTAGGACTCTCTCTCTCTTTGTAGTCCTGGCTGTCCTGAAACTTTCTATGTAGCCCTGGCTGTCCTAGAACTTTCTTTGTTACCAGACTGGCCTGGAACTCTCAATGTAGCCCCGACTGTCCCGGATTTTCTATATACTCCTGTCTGGCCTTGAACCTGCAGAGAGACACTCACAGTCCTGTCTCCCAAATGCTAGGATTAAAGGTGTGTGCCACCAAGCCGGGCTCACAGTAACTTCCGTATGAATGAAATAAATTAACGGAAGAGCTTGAAGGTCACGGCCATTCAAGAAGAGCTTCACCCCGTCTCCCACCTTGGAAGCCTGTCAAGAAGTGATCAATACCTTGTCACTTCCCAGACTGACAACTCTAGTCGGTGGCAGACAACTCAGCGCTGACCCTAGTCCAGAGCTTCTCAACCTTCCTGATGCCGCCACCCTTTAACACAGCTCCCCATGTTGCTGTCCTCCCCAACCGTAAGACCGTGTTCATTGCTACTTTATAACTGCCATGCTGCTACTGCTGTGAATCCTGATGTAAACGTCTGATAAGCAGGGTGTCTGATACGCAACACCCAAAGGGGTCGTGACCCACAGGTTGAGAACCACTGGGTGGGGCCTAATATGTCACCAAGGAGCCTCTTAGCCAACCTGGGAAGTGGGTCAGCATCCACATCTAGGAAGATGTAGGTGTCCTGAACATGTGCCCTACTGGGTACTACCTGGGTCAAGGTATAAGACAGCCTGTGAATCACACAGCCAGGCTCAGCCTAGGGACTATGTCCTGCACGGATGTGTCTGGGGTACCACTGCGTAGACCCCTTCTTTTCACCTGAAGATCCTCCCTACCCACTTTTCACAAGGAACCCCCCTCATCCGTTGGCTCCCGGCACAGCCAGCCAACCACACATGCTACCCTGGGAATCATGGGGCCCGTGCCACCTCCTGTATCTCTTGAAGCCATCCCTCACTATCCAGACTCCCCCAAGAAAGTTCCAGGCCATCCAGGGCTGTACAGAGACACAGATCTGACTCCGGTGGGACTGGGGACCGTGAAACCCAGAGAAGTCTTCTTCTCTAGACACAGGGCTGTCCCCAAGACCAGACCGTGTCTCCAACCTGCAGAACCTGGGTTCTGAACACTGTGGGTTGTGAAGTCCTGCCCCTCTTGACTCTTCCCGCCACAAACCAGGATGCTCTCAGCCACAGCTGGAGGGGACTTGAAACACACGGCGCAGAAGCATAGAAAGTGTGGGACATGCCTCCTCACGCCTTGTCTCATGTGATACCTGCCAGGGACAACTGAGGACAGATGGAGAGGAATCTACAAGGGGACAGGAGGGATTCTGCTCCTATTCTGTCACTGATTTTACTCTGGTTTCTGATGAAGCCCCTTGCCCTCCATAGGCTTCCAAACGGCCATTGATGACTAAGAGCCTCAGACACTGGGTGACCTCCCATGGCTGGAGAAATGGCTGACCTTCCCCACTCCTCCATGTCCCTTCTCAGGCAGAGAGGCAGAGACAAGTGGCACCACCTCCAAACTGACCTTGCCACTCATGGTCCCCAAAATCTCACTCCTGCCCCCTAACCACAGCCCCTCCCTTCAGAACCTGGCCTCCCACAGCCGCAGGAAAGGATTTTAAGGAGGATGCTTCCCTCAGCTTCACACAGGGTGGAGGATAGTATGGGATGGGGTGGTGATGGGGGAAGTCCTTCTATGTATATATTGATGAATAAAGCACTGTTGGCCAATAGGGAAGCAAGATAGATGGGACTAGGAGTCACAGAGGATTCTGGGAAATGTAGTAAAGAGAGTCATCACCATGTGATCCTGGGGAAGAGGACAGATCAGGATGCCGTCCTTGGAAAGATAAGTCCTTGTAGAAACATATATTAGTAAGTATGGGTTAATAATTAAGTCAGGGCTAGCCAATAAGAAACAATAGAAAATGTCCAACAGCTTCATAATTAATATAGCGTCTCCTGTGCCATTTGGAGGCTAAAGCAGCAATGGGAGCCAGGCGGCTGGCAGGAAGAGCACAAGTCACAGGGTGGAGTCTGTGGAATAGAATAGGAGAGAATGGGACGGACAGATGGACAGGGTGGCGTAGATATGACAGGCATGATAGAATAAAAGATGGGGAGGGATAGGAATGGAGAAGACAGGAGGATTGTGGTCATCAGAAAATTGTGGGTGGAAAGAAGAAATGAAAAATACTAATATGAATCCATAATTAATACATAAATGAAACTGAACAAAAGTAAAGAGTGATGGTGGAAATCGAGAGATGAAACCGTTCTGAGCCACTGGATCAAGAATGACTGGTGAGCAACTAACCATTGGGGCAGGCTCCCGGAGCACAATGGAAGTGAGGGAGGAGAGATAATATGAACAAAGGAGTCACGGCCATGATGGGAAAACCCTCAGAACCAGCTGACCCGAGCTAGTGAGAGATCACTGCCTCAGGTCTGACAAATGGGGAACCTGCATGAGACTGAACTACACTGCCTTAATATAGGTGACAATGGTGTGGCTGGAACAATATATGAGGCCACTGGCAGTGGGTCCAAGATCTAACTCTAATGCACAGACTGACTTAGTGGAGCCCATTCTATATGGAGAGATACCATGCCCAGCCTAGACACAGTGGTGGGGGTGGCGAGGTGCCTTGGCCCTGCCTCAACGAGATGATGGGACAGACTTAGTAGACCTCCTAGGGGACGCCTTACCCTCTCTATGGAGCAGATGGGAGGAGGGGGGAGTGGGGAGAGTGGAAGCAGAGAGGGAGGGGGAACTGGGATTGGAATGTGAAACATAAATAAATAGATAGATAAATAAATAAAAAGAATGGTGAGGCCTTCATTACTGTGGTGAGGGAGGTGGGCTTGAGTCGAAGCTGACGGCTTTCTGAGTGGAGCGATCGACTCCATCAGTGACGCTGTGACAGCCTCGGGTGCTGAGAGGAGTATGTGGTCACTAACATGGAGCCTGGCACACCCCCACTCCCTGCACTGATGAACCCAATCTGACCCACGTGAACCCGGATTACATCTTCGTTGAGAGCCACTGCCGGAGTAAGTCAGATTTGACCCACATGGACCGAAGCCTGGGGCCAGCTGTAAAGGGAAATGCCATGCCCACTTAAGATCCGGGTCGCCGGGCGTTGGTGGCGCACGCCTTTAATCCCAGCACTCGGGAGGCAGAGGCAGGAGAATCTCTGTGAGTTCGAGGCCAGCCTGGTCTACAGTGCGAGTTCCAGGACAGCCTCCAAAACAACACAGAGAACCCCTGTCTCGAAAACCCAAAAAAAAAAAAAAAAAAAAGATCCGGGTCTCTTCAGCACCCTAGGGAAGGGTGTCAGCAAGCCACAGCCTCCCAAGGGCGTGCCATCATCAGGGCTCAGGAAGGGCCCTGAAAGCAGCTGGAGAGGAAAAGCCGCTGTCCCTAAAGGATCACACAATGAATGACAAAGGGTTAATTCTGCAGGCCCAAAGAGGAGCTTCCAGAACGTATCTCATAAGCAAAGGTGATGGCAGAGGACTGTTATAGCCCCGTTCAGCCATCAACAGAACAAGCCATGACGGCCAGAGGCTCAGGAGCTTGGAGGAGAAGAGGGTCAACTCCTTAACACACAGCTCTAATTCAGAACTCAAAAGAAAGATCCAGCGCCCCACCCCACCCCAACCCCAATCCTTAGAGATGCTCAAGAAGCCAGATAATCTTCCAGAATATTCTCTACAGATCTGGGCTCTTTCCCACATCAACCCTCATCTACCAACCCTACCAAGAGCCTTCATGTCTCAGAGGCTCTGGAATGAGGAGGAAATGAAAGACTGCCCTGAGCTCCAGGTGATCACACGCTCTCCTCCAGCCTGTCTAGAAGCATGTCCTTGGCCAGGCCCACCCAGGGCCGGTGCTCCAGCCCAGCAGTTCCCCAGCTGAGCTTTGTAGAACAAATGTGAAGGCAAAAGCAGAAGCATAGCCAACAAGGACATAAACGCTGCTGTTTGTCTCTTACCTCTCACGCTCTAGGAACCTGGAGGGGTGGTCAGCTGATCACCAGTAGGGCTGGAGCATAGAGCAACCTCCAAGTCCATAAATTATGGAGACCAGTTTGTGCATGAAAGACCAGAGTTTTAAAGAACCCTTGTGAATCTCAGTTCTCGTACATTTCAAAGTTTTCCAGGGAATAAACCAGAACTTGATGTCCACAGATAATTAACAAATTTATTATTCTGTTCAGATACAAATATTGTACCACTTAAAGTCATAGGATAAATCAGACCCCCAGAAAAATGTCCACATTTGTCCAGGTCTCTCTCTCTCTCTCTCTCTCTCTCTCTCTCTCTCTCTCTCTCTCTCTCTCTGTGTGTGTGTCTCTCTCTCTCTCTCTCTGTGTCTCTCTCTCTCTCTCTCTCTCCCCACCCCCTGGCAGATCCAGGAACATCTTCATTGCTCCCCTCAAGCCACCACCAGAAGAAAAAGAAGTTCTCACCACAAGGAAATTTGCTAAAGATGTCTCCATTCCCCACCGAACCAATTTTAAGACTATAAGCAGCCTCTAACACACGTCTACTGGAGTGCCTCCCCCGGGTGACTGACAAACACTCCCAGGTTACCCGAGTTGCTGCCTTCAGGTTCCTTTCCATGCTGCCAGTCCCCAGTGGTCCAAGCCCTCAGGCTCCCTAGGAAAGAGCGGTAAGAAGGATGATATGCCCACATCTTCTGAGAGAGGACAAGTCACGCTGGCCAGAGGGACAGCAGCCCGATGGATTTTAGGCTGTGGCTCTGACTGATGTGAAAGGGAAGAAAACATTCTTGTTTCTCACTGTTCGCCAGGGTGACAGTAACCATGGATATAAATCAATTTTTGGAATCTGTCAGTCGCTGACTGAATATAAAGAGCACTCTCTCTCAGAGCCACGGGCAGGCAGAGATAGATACAGCAGCCCAGACAAACGGACAATTAGGCATGGGCACAGAATAAACCTGGTGTCTGTATAACTCATCCATCCTGCGGGATCGTGTTACAAGTAAACAGATGACGACAGCAGCCAAGTCTAGAATTTGTTATGAAAAAAAATCATTGGGCGGGGGTGGGGGACATGACCCAGGGAAATAAATATTGTTATAATTAGAAAGCTAGACATGGCTGGATACATCTGTAGGACAAATGCCTGAGAAGCTGAGGCAGGAGAGTAGCTTAGGCACAGAGCAGCCTGGGCAACAGAGAGAAACCCTGTCTCAAAAAGCAAGCAATAAGCAATAATATTAATAATAGCCAGGCGGTGGCGGCACATGCCTTTGATCGGAGCACTGGGGAAGAAGCGGCAGGAGGATCTCTGTGAGTTCGAGGCCAGCCTGGTCTACAGAGTGAGTTCCAGGACAGTCTCCAAAACAATACAGGGAAACCCTGTCTTAGAAAATAATAATAATAACCTATACACAAAATCAAGTAAACATACAGTGGTTGAGAACACGTAATGCTCTAGCGGAGGGTCTCAGTTTGGTTCCCAGCATCCTCACTGAGCAGTTCACATCCACCTGTAACCCAGCTCCGGGGGAGCCTACAGATCTACCCTCACTGGGCACACATGCATATAGCCACACAACGATACGCAATTTCAAAATAGTAAAAACAAATCTTTTCTAGATAGATTCCACTAAATGTCCTTGGGACAGGAAGGAGAATCAGTTGTGGACCTGGTGCCTGCCTGGCTGGCTCAGTGGCCTTGGTCTAACCTCGACCCTGTGCAGGGCTGCTTCCTGGACACGTTGCAAACTGCTCTAACTCCTCTATCTGAGGTGCTCTATCCAGTCTTCGTTTTGCAGACAGGAAAAATAGCATTCAAAGGCCACAGAGGGGTGGGCTGAACCAGCACTCCCCAGAGCTTTCTAAGCACTCCGTTCCTTCACAGGAAAAGGCATGCTGGGTCAGCCCAGGGCCATCTGTGTTGGGGACAACAGAGGACAGTTCGTGGCAAGAGCCATCAAGCTTTAATTTGCATGTTTTATTTTTCTTTTTTTAGCAAAGTGATATATTTGTGTTGCTTAAAAAAGAAATAAAGTTCACATTAATAAATAAAGCTCCAAAGCCTTTGAAATCTGATAATCCATTTAAAGAGTTATCTGGTTTTGCCCATTCACTTAAGCAATGCTTTTTAAAAAACAAGCCGGCCGGGTGTTGGTGGCGCACGCCTTTAATCCCAGCACTCGGGAGGCAGAGACAGGTGGATCTCTGTGAGTTCGAGGCCAGCCTGGTCTACAGAGCTAGTTCCAGGACAGCCTCCAAAACAATACAGAGAAACCCTGTCTCGAAAAACCAAAAATAAATAAATAAATAAATAAATAAATAAATAAAAAACAAGCCACTCGGGAGACAGAGGTAGGTACATCTATCTCTGTGTTTGAAGCCAGCCTGGTCCACACAGCAAGTTCCAGGCTAGCCAAGGTGACACAGTGAGACCTTGTCTGAACATAATTGATAACTAATTAATTAAAATTAATAAATAAATACGACAGACCCAGAACTAGAGAGATGGTGCAGCAGTTGAGAGCACTTCCTGCTCTTCCAAGGAGTTATTAATTAAAATTAATAAATAAATACAACAGACCCAGAACTAGAGAGATGGTGCAGCAGTTGAGAGCACTTCCTGCTCTTCCAAGGAGTTGGAGCTCTGTTCCCAACACCCGTTTTGGGCAGCTCACAAGTGCCTGCAAGTCCATCGCCAGAGGAGCCAACCCCCTCTCC